CACACAGACACACACACACACACACACACACACGTGCGCGCACGCACACACACTAACACACACACACACACAGACTCACACTCTCCCATTCCCCTTCTTTATTGATCATATTCACTCAGTTATCGCTTGTCTAAAAAAACAAAACAATCGTAAACCTCACACAAATGATTTTTTTTTCTATTTGAAGGATTAATAAAGACTTTCGCTAATCTTTTTGTTCATGGAGGAATGTTAATCTCACAGTCTGATCAAAGCAGTCACAAATGAGTTCCTGTATTTGTTCCATGATTTAGAGGACAGAGATGGGCAGTTATAACACAATTTGCTTATTCACATAAAGTGACAAGGAGCTGTAAAATTAATCGGTGGCAAATAGCGGTCTTTGAAGCTTTCTGAAGACTTGAGTATTGTTGCGATTGACGTTTTCCTCCAATCTAGCGCTAAAACAAGATACAAAGAAAAAGAAGGAAAAAAAAAGATTTTTGTTATATCGTTTTTGTTCTTTCGGATGAGATTACCTCCACCGTTTTTCAAGAAATTGGCACAGAGATGGGCCGTTTCGAAGTATTAAAATTTGAATTACATTAAGACCGAAATGTCCACTAATTTTACAAATCTTTCTTTTAAATGTTTGTGTTTTTACGCATTTCAGTTAATTTAGACGGTGGGCTTCCGATTCTGCCTGTCAGGGCAACCCGAGCTGATAGGAACACAACATCCCAGCTTCAGAAAGACGGAGATACTCAATAACCACCCCCCCCCCCCAACCCCCTCGCGAATCGAAGTCAGGTCTCTTGCGTGCAAAAGAAAGCGCCTTACCACTACACCACAGACATCGGGGTTTTATCTTTTAGTGAACTAGACTGGTACATACGTGTTGTTCATAGTTATGGCGGTGCAGCTTCATATTATCAAGTTGTCTTCTCTGCCAGGCCGAGATTATTTCAGACTATTTGTTAGAATGTACAGAAAAGGAAACGAAGAAGGGCATTTCTACGTTTCCAGAATATCCAGTCATGTTTACATATTTATAAGCATAAAAGCTCATTATTATTTACTCTTGTTCGATACTGGAACTAGAAATACTTTGTTTACGTCTTCTTTTCCCGATCAAGAACAGCCCACTTTCGGGCAATGTTTTCGAAACATTAAGCTCACAGTCAGGCAGTGAAGGAGCTGTTTTAACTGGCTACCATGGCGAGAAGTTTTGGTTACGATTCTAAACGGTGGAAGAACTGCTTCTATCTTTACTGGGAATTCTCAATCCTCTGCTTGAGGTCCTCTCGGGGGGCAAAGTGGCCGCTCTACGATGCGTCTTGTAGGGCGTTTATTATACAGATACCCATTTGGTCAACAAAATGTTAACATGTACTACTAAGCCCAGAAAGTTAACGTTTACAGGAGATATAATAAATCTTTAATTTTTCAAAAACAATTGTACCTGCTTTCTGTACATTTTCTTGTTATTTTCAACAATTAGATTTTGATATTTTTCGAAATGTTTATTGAGCACATGGAAGCAATGCCAGAGGAAACTGTAATTTAAAAAACTAAACATTTTGGGCTTAGTGCATTTTAGGAGCTGGTCAACAATTTGTCACACGGCCCCGACCTGTTTGATCATATGGAGTTGGTCGGGTTGGGAAGTAAACGTTGACTAGTACATTATATCAAAAGGAGATCTGGCTTTCTCATGAATTGTGACTTACGTCCGCCGGAGCCTGTCGCATTCCACACGACAACGAAAAATCTAACCTTGTAGTGCCATCTGACACGTATGTAGACTTACGATTAGCTGTTGGTCGTAACTTTCATCAATGGATTCTTTTATGACCTATAAAACCGTGCATAACATGTACAGGGAAAGATCGTGTCAGTATGTTAGTCATCTTATACTAGCGTCTGTAAAATGGCAGCCTGCTGTATGCTTCCATGAAAGCTGAGTTTTTTTCAAAACGCTATCATATCTGATGTGTCGATAATATAGATTATAACGTGCACAGAGCTTGCTGTTGGGCCGGAATTTGCGCTATACAATTGCTATTTATTATTTATAATTTATTATTACTAAGATAGAAGATCTTGTCCTTCCATTAACGATAATCTGGCTGCTCTCACGTGTTCAGTTCATATCAAAAAGGGATTTAAAGACCCTTTTTGGCGTGTGCGCTCGGTGATACAGGAACTAGGCATAATTACGAACGCCTCTTCTGCGTCACGCCGAGGCTATGCTCATTGACGCAGAAATAAAAGATCACTATGATTATCATCGTCTATCGCAAAGCGATCAACATTAAAAGCAAATTTGTGATGAACATGTTTCGTCTGCCACGGGGAATTACTCTTCATTCGGCTTTCGCAGATGCGACCAAAACAAAACAAAACAAAACAAATAATAACAGCAGGTAGAAAATAAATCCGAAAAGAAAGTAGTTCCTACTGATTACGAGGGTAGAAAAGGGATAGGTGACTGAACATAAATCATACGAAGTTGTTGATTTTCTGAATCATTTTATTCAGAACAAGAAGGGATGGTTGCAAGCTGTCATATCGATTTATATATGCAAATGAAACGGTCTATGGGTCTCGTAAAATGAAACAATCTCTTCACATTCAAGCTCTAACTAGCATAGAAGTTGCCAAAAAACAAAACAAAGTAATTGTCTGGTGGCCTCTATCAGTTGATGTCGACTGTGAGTGTGGTGCCAATGGGGGTCGGGATGGTGCCTTGGCAATGGCGGAGTCTCTGCCTGGCGAGTCCAATAGGGAAATGGCAATCCCTACCGCATTGGTTGCAGGTTGTGACTAGTCGTAGGGACTAATTCAAGGGTGCCAGCTTTTCGCCTGGCTCTCTTTTTTTCAGCTGTGGCCAGGTTCATTTGTTCACTACATTTGAGCTCCTTGCGGATGACACAGCGCCATCTGCCTCAGTCAGAAGCTGTGTCTTCCCAAATCTTTGCGGAGATGTCCAAAGCTTACATATTACGTTTACAGATGTCTATAAAGCACGATTAAGGGTCGCCAGCTGTTCTCTTGACGGAGGCAAGTTCGCAATATAATAAGTCTTTTGGCATCTGGCTGTCTTCCACCCGAAGCATGTGGCCGAGCATATATGAGCCATTACAAAATTTTTACAGAACGATCTTTGATTCTTGGGAGTTTGTGTGCATTAATCCTCATTTTTTGTTTTAATGAGGCAAAGGTCTGTTGTAAGTTTTTAGCTAATGTAAAAGGCATACCTTCGGGTTTGTAAGCAACAAGTAGGCTCACAGTTTTTTCTTTCGTTTTTTAGTGTTGTTTTTTTTAGCTACATGAGCACGAACACAGAGGAAAAATATTGTTGAGAACGGAGAGGGCACCAACCAAAATACTACCTGAAAGCGCATTCATGTTTTGAATAATACCTCCTGATATTAAAACCACTGCATTGGAAGCCAGGGAATATAAATTAACTCTTTATTGTCTGGCATCGCCTTGTGAAATTGAAATCTACTGTGAACTGGTTAAAGCAGGGATAAATTAAAGTTTCATATTGCATAAATATTGTCCTATTACATTCCCCCCAAATTAAAATAAAGCAAACAAGGTACGAGACAATATCTATTTGTGTGTGTAATACAATTTATTGCACATGTTTTCTGTTTTTAGTTGGTCGGCTTTTATACTTTTAGTAAAACATTTCTAAAGTCTTAGCAAGTTTAAACATTTCTGGGTTTGAATGTTCTCAATAAAGAATATCGTGAGGTTATCCTGATCATAAATGTCTCATAGCTCTCAAACCTCTCCAGTCCCACCAGCCCATGTCTTCGTTATTGCTGATTTAGAGTTTGTCCTTTCATTAATTACTTTGAAAACCAAAGCTCCATTATTTTATTTACATCACGAAAATATCGGCCTCTCGTATGAGACATGAGATCCATTTCCTGTTTGGGAAGTCTATCTTATCAAACATCTCAGTCTTTCTGCTGAGATGTTGTATCTTTCTGAGCCCACGTGTGGCCCTGACAGGCAGGGTGGAAGTAGTCAACTGTATCGATAGCAGAAACATTTGCTATCATGATAGTTGCATTATAAAGTATGTCCCCTGAAGGGATCATGATATTGCACAGTATGTTGTGGGTATTGTTAGCTTGAACTAAATATATCTTTGCTATAAATTTTCTGAAATATTTTTTGCACGTGGCATCTATCTTTATTTATTTCATTCAGTTGAAATTGGTTAGGTGAAATATCGTAATTAATGCCACTGACACATGGAATGAATCTTGGTATTTGCAGGTTGGTAGGACAACCATCATCTCAGGGTTTGCCAACCATAAAGAAATTCAGGGGCAATATATTATGTATACTTACTGTCAGCTATGACCAATTATAGATTTTTCTTTTCAAATCTGAATATGATTCAAAGTCAAGATGCTTGCAGCTCTATGCCCGACCAGAGATATTACCCCATCCAAACTGCCTCCAGCGAGCATAAGAGCGCAACTTTCCCGGGTTCTCTTAACTTCCGTGATCCCTGGTTTGAAAAGCATCCCCACGAATACAGTACAAAGTTTGGCTTCGTCGTGGTTTAGTAACTTACCTGCTGTCGTCACATGGAGGGCAAGCACGATGGCGGCTTTTATAAGCATGGCTTCATTGCAAGTTAGTCTGAAAATAGAAAGGCGTAAAAGGGAAGAAAAATAAAAGGATATAAATACAAAATACCATATAAGATAGGATAAACGTTATTGATCCATGACGGACGTTTTGGGTGGATATACCAGAACATAAACAAAGAATGATTCAGCATCAACACAGAAATGCACTCAGTACATTCATGTTCAATGACAAATAAGTAAAGATGTAACCCCGTCACACATGTGTACTAAAAAAAGTGTGTCCATGGGCATAACCTTTATCTCTACCTCCCTCTCTTCCTCCCTCCCTCCCTCTCTCTCTCTCTCTCTCTCTCTCTCTCTACCTACCTACCTACCTACCTACCTACCTACCTCCTACCTACCACATACACACACACACACACACACACACACACACACACACACACACACACACACACACACACACACACAATAAAACGACATAAACGAAAACACAACAAAAAAGAACCCATACTAAACCTGAGCCATTCTATCGCTACTCTTTCTTACCGTGCTTACTTTTCCTTTGACCAAATGTTGCTAGTAAATTGTGAGGTTATGGTTAACATTGAACGATATATTTTAAAGGATAAATATAACAACTCAACACTGAACACAACATTTATCACATAACATCTAATAAAGGTTTAAGGTTAGTTAAAACTTTCTTTTAGTACCTAACTTCCTCTGCTCCAAATGAGTCACGAGGCGGGCATTTCCCTCATTCCCACTCCCTA